AAACAACTTCTTGTTCAAGAATGGGAACAAATAAACGTAGATTTAATTAAAAACTTAGTGCATTCAATACCCAGACGTCTACAAGCAATTATTGACGCAAATGGCCTATTTACAAAATATTAAAACTATTAAAATTTAAAATAAACTTGTAAATGTGGAAGTGTGCAAATACTTTTTTCCAAGAACATTTATTGTTTTAATTATTTTGTTTGATTATCAAGTGTTTTTATTTTTTTGTAAAAACTTTTTTTTCAGTTTTTAATAAATTTACTTTTCATTTTGCAAAGGGAAGCGAAGGTTTTTGTTTCCTTGAACTACTTTATTCATAAAAACGTGTTGTGCAAATACTTTTTTCCATCACTGTATATGTCAGGGAGACCAGAAAGTAATGTCATTTCTGAGCATGTCACTATTTGATTGTTATTTCCCAGCTCATTGTTTATATTTAAGTCGTGGCAAAGATATTCTAAGGTTGTAGTGACTTGTTTAGTAGTAAATAATTAATTTCAAATTTTGTTTTATAATTTTAAGTGAAATGATCAACCAAATACCAGAATTATATATCGGCATTGCACTATTTCTGAGTTTCACAAGGGTAGTAACCCAACAGTTGTTACCTAAAACATTTGCAATGTTTATCCAAATGCTTTATAAGTTGGTAAATGCCAAAGGTGATTTTTCACGTTCCGACTCGTATCAATCAGGAAGCCCAACAACGTTAGGCAATGATGTGTTAAGGGCGGAAGTGGAAGCAAATCCGTGTCAGACAATCGAGGAAATGTCAATAAGTCTTAACCAACCTCGGTAGACCATTTGACGTAATTCCCAAGTAATGAAACGTTTTAGACAGCGTTGCTTGACCACGGATCGGCGATAGTTTGTGACCTTATTTTTTCCACTTGAAGATTTTCTAGGGAGTGGTGATTCGAGGGACTGGCACATCAAAAGCTTATGCAGTTTTGAAATAGAATTAATTCAAAATTACTATCAAACTTCCGGGTATAAAGTTTGATTAAAATTGACTTACCTTTATAGTCAAGCTAATGCACAATTTAGTGAGGTAAAAAAAAAAAATACTCCAAAGCTTAAGTAGAAAGAGATCTTGTTAAAGAACAGATTTATTGTTTTGCTTCATTTCTCTTAACTTTTTAAAAATTATCTAAGGAATGAATATCAACTTCAGTGACATAAAATGGATCGGTCAGGTGACATTTATTAACCAATATTTTTGTTTAAGTGGATATAAAGATTACCCAATAAATCATTTCTCAGTAATCATAGACTTAGAGCCCTCTCATAAAATAAATCGTAATGTATGGATTACTAAGTTAGTGTCTATGAACACTAGGAAGTGAAAAGAAAACAGCATTACACTTTTTTTTGTGGGGGTGGAAGGAGGGGCGTGTTCAGGAAGATGAAACAGCGTATCATATTACTTCTTGGTGCGAAAGGTTTCCTGAGTTGTGATTCCACTTATTCGGTAATGATAGGGTGGCTGATTCCAAAACAAAGGAGCTTGTCAATCCAACAAGACTACTTCAATTTGTAGAGAATGCTGGAATAATGATCTGAATAAGAGCGACACTAATTTGAGACGTACATAGGCCTTGTTGGTCGCAGTGCATGCCAAAAAAAAACCAAGGTGTGTGCTTTAGACCACACATAGAAGTAAAAACATTAACAAGGCGAGACTAATAATATGAAATATAAATTATAAATAATTATAAAGAGGATGAAATGCTGAACATTTCCCACGCTTACAGTTGCAGGTCCGTTTTTTTAGTTTCTGAGATATTTCAATCCATATCCTCAATAAAACTGGTTATCATTTGTTTTTGTCAATATTTCTTCCTTTTCGCCTCCTTTACATGGCGTTGGTTAAGATACACTTTTAAATAATATTTCATTACAAAGAGGATGAAATGCTAAATATTTCTCTCCCTTACAGTATGCAGGTCTGATTTTTAATTTCTGAGATATTTTAATCCATATGCAAATACGCTATAATTAGTTGACTTTACCGGAGGGTTACACATGGAAAATAGATAAAATATTCATAAAATTCATATTCATAAAATAGATTATCTGATTCATTTTCCACAAAAAAGGGTAAAATGGGCCTAAAGAAGTTTTCAGTTCAAAAAAAAAAAATTGCATACCATTCATGAACAGTATTGCAATAAGCAGAATTTTTTTTATTTTAATTAACAATTAATTTTATAATGTAATATTAAACTAAACAGTTGCTTGGATGTGAGGTTTGGAATCATCATAATAAACATAATTTCTAACAAATTTTACATTTGGTACAAAACTTTTAAAGTAATATGAAATAACATAACAATTAATTCTTTCTTTATTGCACAAATCCTTTAATAATAAAATTAAAGGCAATAATAATATGTGGGCTTTACAACTTTAGTGTAAAATAAAAAAGATAAAAATAAAGGAATGGAATTTTAAAGAATCATAATATAATAACTTTGAATTTTAAACTAAACCAACAAACATCTAATATTAATTAAATAAGAAAGCAAGTAATAATAAAAGTGGTAACAATGCATTTATAAATGTTTATTAAAAAACGAGGAATATATATTCATAATTTTTTTGGAACTGAATGGGAAGGAAGTGATTAAATATGAAGGCTGAGGAGGGATATCGCAAGAATGAACAGAGGATTTGAATTTCAAGAGATCATGATAGATGGTAGAATAGGATAACTTGATGAATGAAGAATTCCAGGGAATACAATGGTAGAAAGATTAAAGCCTCTTGAAATACATAAAATTGGGGGACGGAGACGTTCCTGAAGATGATTCATATAAAAGTAATCACGCATTTAATTATTTAAGCCTCGAGATCCCCACGTATTGTCAAACATTAGCCCAAATGTGGGATGGATACAAAGGGCTTAAGATCTCCTTCCTCATTCAGAAGGTGGTGAAGAAAATTCAGAAGTCCGAAATAACCAAAAAAAAAAAAAATGGAGACAAGAATACCAAAAGTAACTTATGGGCTTTCAGATGTAGAGTTCTCATCTTCAAAGCAGGACCCTTAATAGAAACAAAAGTACAAATTCATAAACCAACAAACTAACAGAGTCTGAAAAGCTATTAAAGTTGTTAGGAGCAGAGAAACAAAACTAGAGGAAAGTTAAGTTCCAATAAAATGGATGAAAGGAAGACCAGAATAAAACGGGAGGAAACATAGTTGAGACCTAATAACCCAAAATAAGGGCAAAGCTATTTGTTGGCAGATTTAGTAAAATCTGTGAATAAAATCAATACTGACATCAAAACCAACTGGCGAGAGCTAAGCACATCATTGTGGACGGCACCACCTTTGAGGCACTTAGAGCTAAACTACTGATGGAAACTGTTCTCTACATAATCAAGAGATCTTGTTATACTGCATATGTTTTGTGTAAGAGTGGCAAATCATAGTTAGGTCTGATCATTTTAACATAGTACAACGTTGTATATCAAAGACATGATTTTTCCAGTAAACAGTTTAACCAAAGGTGATTATAAGATTTTTGATAGAATTTCAGGAGAGATTGTAACCTAAGATAACGATTGCATTTCGAAATATAGCTTTACATATATTGATATTGATCATTCAATTACTTTACTAAGATTTCTTTATAATTGACAAAACCAGTCCATACAAAAATAGAAAATATTAATTAAATAAAAGCTAAGGGAGTACCCCTGTCCGCTTAATAGTAGACCAACCCCATTTTACAAATTATACAACTGTTTATTTAATTGTACTACCCATTGCTCAAATTCTATAACTTTAATTTACATGTATTCTGTAGTTCAGATTGTATTATATGTTGGGATACTTGCAGACATGAAATTGTGTGAACGAGGTAATAAAGTACATAGAGGAACTGCCAGACAACACCTCGATACATATTTGTGCGAATTTTTGTGACGGCGGGTTTACAGAGAAGAGAACCTTCCTGTGTTCCTTGCTATTTTAAATAGCATAAAACAATTTTGCCTTCCAAAATAAATAAATCAAAGTGAAAATAATAAAATTGTACATATGTTTTTTATAGTGTTGATATTTTTTCCTTTCTATGTAAATATGTTCTTTAAATGTTTTATTATTATTTCATTTTCATCTTTTATATCTACATATGTTTTTCAAGTGTTTATTTATTATTTCATTAATATATGTGTTGTGAAATAAAAGTTTTTTTTTTTGTATCTGTTTACACTTTCAATAATAGGAATATAATACAATAATATGAAGATAGAAAGTAGGAGAAGGCTTATCAGTGCATTATTGGAATTATCAGTGTTCAGGTTATAAACATTGGCAGATAGCAGTCAGTGCTGGCCTGCTAATCAAGAAGTACCATATTTTATCAACATAAAATAAACCAAACGAAACCACAGTTCAAACAAATTTTTAATTTCTTTAAAAATCTATATTATAAATCGGGCCTTATTGTCAAACCATCATCAAACCAAGGGGACCTCCTGCTTCTTGTCTGCAATCCAAGGATTTCCTCTGGCAGTAGTTTTCAGCACTCTTGAAACTCCCGACCACTGGTCATTCACTGTCATTCCTATCCCTTAGTTTCTCTTCCAGCCTAGTTTAAAAGTGTTGCTGATAGGTTTCACACACTTCAGGATCCTTCAGTTTGTGAACATTGAATTTCTTCACCACTTTTCCAATATCCGAGTTCCGTTTCGTGGTAATCCGGGCAATACTGAGGTAATGATCCGAATCCACGTTTGCTCCTCTGTATGTTCTTACTCCAATTAAATTGGACCTGTGACGAGAGCTGATTAAGAAGTGGTCGATCTGGCTGGTAAACGCTCCATTAAGTGATCTCCAGGTAGCTTTGTGTATATTTTTGCATGGGAACATGGTACTTCCGACCACCAGGTCGTGAGTATTCGCAAAGTCAATCACTCTTTGGCCATTGGCATTCGAGTTCTGATGTAGACTGAAGGTTCCAATTGATGGTAGATGGGAGATTTTTAAGGGTGCCACTTCCAAGCCATCGGACTTCCTGGATCGCTGCGATGTCAATGCGATATTTGTCAATTTGCTCGAAGAGCGCCCGCAAGGCTCCGAGTCTATATAAAGATAAAATGTTCCAGTAGGCGATTCTTAAGTCCATAAAATGTTTCCTGGTTTTATTCCGTAATGACAATCTGGCTATTTCTGCTTGTAGAGGTTTCGTAATGTTGAGTATTTAAGGAGAGTGGGTTATTACCCCATTGCGCCCGAGTCAGGTCAGGATGTCACACTCAACTTAAACCAAAGTATATCCTTTTCTCTCAATATAATTTCAGACATATATTGAGTTTTATATATTTTGTTCAATATAAAAAACTCTATAAGACTACAATCTTTGGTACTTAGTAAGGAAGTACTGTTTCTAGGCCAACCAGGATCACATTCAACTACCTAGGTTTTCCCTCCAATTAAAGGTATCCATTTTACATGGGCAGATATTCTACTGTGCCTGAATATTCAATGCAAGCCATATTTGGCCACATAATTATTTATTGCTCTTGATCATAAAATATAATTGTTTATCAATTTATTTTGAAACGGATAAAATGACAAGTTTATTTACTATACAACAACAGAATACCAAAAATCTAGTTTACTATGCCTTTGCTTTCTTATTTATTTTCATTATTGAATGTTAAAATAATTGCTCCGCCCAAACTTACATTTGTCCAAGAGCTGAACGACATCCAACAGCTTCATCATCTATGCGGATAGACTTCTCACCTGTATGATGACCCTTAATATGTATTTTTATCCGAGCAAATATTAGAGATTTATAATTGCAATAATGACATTGATAAAGCTTCTCACCTGAGTGACGTCTCATTATATGTATTTTCAAAGTACCAGAATTAGTTGATTTATAATCGCAATAAGTACAGTGATGAGGTCTCACATTTGTGTGGTGACTCATCACATGTATTCTCAAAGTATCAGATGCTGCTGCTTTAAAATTACAATTAGGACATTGATGGGGCTTCTCACCAGAATGACGTCCCATTATATGTCTTTTCAAATTACCAGAATTAGTTGATTTATAATCGCAATAAGTACAATGATGAGGTTTCTCGCCCTCATGTTGGCTTATTATATGATTTTTAATATTTGTAGAACTAACTGCTCTATAAACACAGTGAGGACATTTATGTGGCTTCTCATTAGTATGACGACTCATTATATGTCTCTTCAAAACATATTGATTATTTGATTTATAATCACAATAGGTACAGTGATGAGGCTTCTCCCTAGAACTTTGATGAGATCTTTCATCTGTATGACGTATCATGATATGTCTTTTCATACTAGAATACAGCGCTGATTTATGATCACAAAAAGAACATTGATGTGGCTTCTTACCAGCATGTACAGCATTTATATGAGTTTTAAGGTATGAAGAACTAACTGTTTTATATTTACAATGAGGACATTTATGTGGCTTCTCATCTAAATGACGAGCCATTATATGTTTCTTTAAAGTATAATATTGTTTTGCTTTATAATCACAGTAAGTACAGTGATGAGGCTTTTCTTCTGTATGAAGAGCTATTATATGTCCTTTCATTACAGAAGAAGTTACTGATTTAAAATCACAATGAGGGCACTGATAAGGTTTCTCATTGGTATGATGTGCCATTATATGTGTTTTCAAATTACCAGACTGTGCTGCTTTATAATTACAATAAGAGCATTGATGTGGCTTCTCACCTTTATGCCTGGCACTTATGTGCATTTTGATGGATCCAGAACTAACTGATTTAAAATCGCAATGAGGGCATTGATGTGACTTCTCACCAGTATGACAACGAATTATATGTACTTTCAACTTACAATATTGTGTTGATTTATGATCACAATGAGGACATTGGTGGCGTTTCTCACCATTATGTCGATTCATTATATGTAATTTTAAATCATAAAAGAATGCAGACTTATAATTGCAATGATAACATTGATAAGGCTTCACACTTGTATGAAGTCTCTTTATATGCCTTTTTATAAGATCTTTATTAGCTGATTTATAGTCACAATGGGGGCACTGATGAGGCTTCTGGTCTGTATGACGGGTCATTATATGCTTTTTAATATGCCCAGAATTAGCTGATTTATAATGACACCGAGGGCAGTGATGGATAGAATCCTTGGTATCTATAATCATAAATGTTACCATTATAAAAAGTTATAAAAACTGATTTCAAATAAATATAATTTCATAAAACATTTAAAAATAATAAAAGGATCTTTAGGAGAGCCAGAGGCAATTGAAAGGATAATAGTGAGGAATAAAAATTTTATAGAAAAAGTGTAAGTTAGGAATCTCAGGGTTTCAGATTGATAAAACAGATTAGCACTGGACTACAGGATGAGCCACCTAGAATATCAAAGAGGATTGGGTCAAGATGGAGGATTCTAATGAGTAAGATTTTCGGGAAATAATACAATAAAGATTATTTCAATTTAAAAATTTACTCACAATAATTAATTTGCAGTTTTTCATCTCCTTTGATAACAGTGGAGAGAACTGTAACAAAAATTAAGTAATTATTTCAAAATGAAACTTCTTCAAATAGCTCTTCATACTATTAATAAATAGTAGGTCAATGAAATAGTGTAATCATTAAGGAAAACTTTTAAAATTTATTTTCAGCTTCAAAACAAAAATATCGTTGTTTTATTGCAAACAATTATTAAGTAACACTTTAATGAATTTGAGATAATCGACTTTGAAGTTCCTGATTCATTAAAAAGATACTAAAATAGTAACTTGATTATTCATTTTTTACTATATGCAACACTAAACATATATTCTATTTCTGAAAATTAATTGAAGTACTTAACATATACATAACAATGAAAATAAATGGAAAAAACTGAAACCAAAATGCACTTAATAACTTTTTGCATACTAGCATAGTTAAACAGTACACTTACTTACTTTTGTAACCTAGTACACTTACTTACTTTTGTAACCTTGCAAGTACAAAAGTCGACTTTCCTTTGTTAATTTCATTAAGTATCTGATCAATTATTCCAACGAAAGAAGTCATTAAGTATCAGATAGTAAATTTTGGCGTTCTATTTTAACCATATTTAGATAACAGGAAATCATTTAAGTAATTTGATGACTTTTTGCTTTGTAAAGTCAGGACATCATACACTTTGTGAAATTTTTGTTTACATATAAAATTATTTGTATTATGTTTATGCACCTAATGCGTAATTGTATTGATAAATATGATCAAAATTAACAACTAAGTCAGGACATCATACACTTATAATTATAATGACTTCAGGTTTAAATTGACTAAAAGTGAACTTTTTACAATAAACCGACGATTGTAGTGGACAGAAATGTCATAAATTATATTGTCATAAGTTTGTATATACAGAGTGTTTCATGGTTGTGGCCAAACTGCAAGAATGAACTAAGGACCTCAAAACAAGAAAAAAGTTTCCTCTGAAGGTATGTCCACAAACAATTTGTTTAGAAGATATTCACACCAAAATATTTTTGTTGTTATGAATTATTTACGTTATATGAAATAAATAAAACCTATTTATTTGTTCTAACTACTTTATTAGTTAGTCTGAGTCAATCACCTTAATTCCTTATGAAGAAGGATGATTGAATCTTGTGAAACAATAACATATATCCAATGCCGTTCTGCCACTGCTGCTGTTGAAGAAAGATTCTGAGCCAGTCTTAATGCTCAAGGAAATCACTTTGAACAACATTTAATATGAATTCAATGTTTACGTTTAGTTAATAAAGTAATTAGAACAAATAAATAAGTTTTATTTACTTAATATAATGTAAATAATTCATAACAACTAAAATCTTTAGGTGTGAATATATCCTAAACAAACTGTTTGCAGATATAACTTCAGAGGAAATGTTTTCTTGTTTTGAGGTTTTTAGTTCATATTTTCAGTTTCGCCTGTTTGTTGGTTGTTTTGTTGGTTTTGGTTGTTTAAAGGTTTGTTAACCTTTAAAAAAAAAAATTCTAAAAGTAGGGCAGTAATTGAAAGCTGTATGATCTATAAACATTAGATTATTTTGGTTAGATAATTACTTTTCACGATTAACATAAGAAAAATGTACAGACTTTCTTTACATCTTACTACTATTAAGATGAGTAGCAGAAAAAATACAGCAGTTCAGGAGCGTAAAAAAATTCGGATCAAACAGTGAGACGACAACTCAACTTGACATTCTCCAGCAATTGGACCTAAGCTTTTCAGAGAGTACCGAATTCAAGCTTGAGGCTTGCCCATGGACATCTATACCCACTGGAGCCGTGTATTATTCACTGACGAGTCCCAATTCAGCCTAAGGTCTCCAGATGGACGCAAAAGAGAGGAGGCGGGAAGAGAGCTACGCTCCTTGTCATGTTTCTCTAAGGGGTGCTTTTGGAGGAGGCTCAATGATGACTTGGATAGGCATAAATTTAAACTCCATTACAGCGTTAGTTCTGGAGGATCATCATTATAGGTACAAAAGGGAGATTCAAGAACCACATGTGATGCATTTTGCCAGAAATATGGGCAGCAACTTCATTTTAATGCATGCTTAACCTCATGTTGCTCGGCTAGGGCAAAATTACTTCAAACAAGAAGAGATCGAAATCATGGCTTAGCCACGCAGAGGTCCAGACATGAACCCAATATAGCAAGTATGGAACATGCTAAATTGAAATTTGGACGATTTAAGAATTTTAGCGGAAGAGAGGAACAACATCCCAGAAGATGTAAGAAATTTGGTCGACAGAATGAACAGGAGAATGGTGGCAGTGATCAGGTCTAGAGTGGAGAACATTTCAAGGACCATTAAAAAGAACGCGAGAATATGTGCCAAACATTTTTAGATGTAGTATCACCGAAAAAAATTTAGTTGAAATTGGTGACCCACTGACTGTAGCTTCCCCTTGTAAGTTGTCTGCTTAAACACTACTTACCATCGTCTGGTATTAGTAGTTCCTCTTCTTGTTTCACATGAATGAGCCCATCTGTCAACATATAAACAATAATATCATTAACAAGAAAATAAAAACACTAGAAAGAAAACAAAAGAAATTTTAAATAGATCTTTTTTTTTTTACAAAAGTTTAACACACTGTTTAACAAAACAAGAATCAAGTTTCTATTTTTACTTTCACTTACCTAAATTTGAAATATATAAGAGAAAGTATTACGATTGTGAAAAAGTTCAAATGCGAGTTTGTAACAGAAATATAAGTCTTTAGATGCTCTGAGCTTGAATAACCAAGTTTCGCAAAATGAACAGCTTTTTAAAAATTGTTTATCTCTTTTTCTCATAGAGTAACCCTTTACGAGTGCATTAAGCATAATACATGTATAGAGACCATTATTTGGTCAAGATTTTATATAAACAAAAGCTGGCGCTAAGAAGAAAAAGGGAACGTAAGAAGCACTACTACTCATAATGTTGAAAAACTATAAGAGAAAGCTGTAGCTCAACAGTTACAAGGAAAGTATCAGAAAGGCTGAGAGAATAAGGCCTACTAATATGAACATTGAAGAAAAGTGGACACACCTTAAGGATGTTCTCAGAAGAGTGGCAGGGGACATTCTAAGCACCACACAAAAAAGAAACCAAAATTTCTGGTTTGATGATGACTGTGTAAGGGCCTTGAAGAAAGAAAAAATGACCTAACAGAGGACACGAAAAACAGTCAAAGACTATGATGACAAAAGAAAGGTCACAAAGACTATATGCAAGAAAAAAAAGAAAGAATATAACGAAAGGGAGAGGAGAAGGAGAGAGTAATTGCAAGAACATTGAATCTTCATGGCACACTCAACCAGTCCGCAGCCAGGAATCGCTTGAGGCAAGCCTTGCAGAAAAAGGACGCTGACCTTACCTCTGCAGGAAGCAAGTTGAGCTCTCTAGCCGCTATTGTTCCCTGTAATCTTTTACTGTGTACTTCTAGTAAACCTTTCCTTAGATCTGCAGGTTCGTCAGAATCCAGAATTTTTCTCGCTAGGCACATCAAATTGAGTCTCCGATACTCCTAACTTCTCAACCAGCCTAGTGTATTTATGTAAGGAGTGATGTGGTCTTCCCTTTTTATACTAAGTATATATAATGCGTTAAGTTCTCTCTGAACTCTGGCATCTTCCGATTCCAATATATCGATGTACACAGAGTCACAATACCATACTAGGGAAGGATTAGCGCGGAGACTATTTTCTTTTTGACCTCAGTGGACAAGAATTGCTTCCACCTTGAAAGGATATGCAGAACTCCGTATATCCGTCTCACTACAAGGCTAGCATGATCACGCCATGACAAGGAGTCACCGATCATCACTCTTTTTCTAGATCGGGATATCACACTATCCATGATCGTCAACATTGGCAACAAAACATTCTTCTCAGCTTTTACAACCAGTTTAGGGCTTCCTATCAGCATCCAACAGTATTTCTTGGGAGTCTATTAGAGAACGTCCAGAGCTGGAGGAGAGGAAGGTCCTTCGACAGATCTTATGGCCAATAGAAAATAAGGAATAATAGAGAACTCCAAGAAGTGTATAAAGAACCAGACATAGTTACTCATGTTAAACCAAACCGTATAAGATGGCTTGGCATGTAGAAAGGATGGGTGAAGATAGATACCCAAAAAGAATTTATACGATAAACCAGGAGACAAAAGAAGGAGAGGAAGGTCCAGACTGAGGTGGATTGATGTATTATTAGTGCATTCATGTTCTTCATCTGTGATAGATCATACTACAGACCTGTTAGGTTTGGAAGTCTATCCTAACATTTCGGACAAGAGCGAGCTTGTGCTGGTGTTTCTTTTGTGTAAATGTTCGTTTTCATAAATATTAATGCTGGTATAATTTTATAATTTAATTGTATAGATTACAGTAATATAAAAATTTAAATTTATTAATATAGCAGTGCTTAAACAAATGAAAATCCTACAATGAAATCATAATAAATACATCTGCCTCTTTTAACAGTGATACTTTTGTAGGACTAAAAGAACATATGGTAAATCTTTATAATGCAATATCTCAGTACCAAATCGTTCAATTTAAATGTTTCTTTTTTTAAGAAATTGGGTAAACCAACAAGCATTACAACATTACAAAAAAAGGTGGATACTTTTCAAGTTATTCGGAAACATAATTTTTACATCCCTCGTAACTATGTTTCCAGCTTTTTTTCAAGATAAGTATGTTTTATATATATATATACATATATATATATATATATATATGTGTGTGTGTATGTGTGTGTGTGTATTGTAAAGTTACGTTCCCTTTGAAAAGTAAACAAAACAGTTAGTGAATAAAATTGTATTTATTTTATGCAATAATTATTTCTCAGGTTGGGTTTAGACAACAAACACACATACTCAATTATATAATATAAAAGCATGGATTAATTGTACATAACATTTATGAATTTCCATTCATTTGTCGGGGTCTAATCTTGGCGCGCTTTCGAACTGTCACTATATATTTCACTCACCCTTTTCTGCAGTGAATCTTCCTCTACATTCTTGTGTTCAACTTCTTTCAATCTTCTAATCTTCCTTTGTTGACACTCGCTACTTGTCATTTTCTCTCCTCTATCTTCTTTACTAGCCGGCTAGCTACTTTCTGCCTCTATTTGGCTCTTCTTCCCCCAACATTTCTCATTCTTTGTTCATTTTCAAAAGTAACTTTAATATATAATTATATATTATATTATATAATTTCATGACCTATTATCCGACTATAATTCATATCTTAAGTTATTATACATATATATAATATAATTTCATGACCTATTATCCAACTATAATTCATATCTTAAGTTACTATATATATATATATATATATATATATATATATATATATATATATATATATATATATATATATATGTAAAAATTTAAAGGGCTTATAGCAGAATACTTTAGCCAAGTTTTGTTAAAATCATCATATCCATTTAAACAATACAGTCTATAACAAAACAGATTTTTCATGTACCATTTTGAAAGGGCAATGTGGGTGGTAATGTTGAGGTAGGAGAATCATCCTCAGGTGATCTATGACTTTGATTCCACATCTCAAAAAAAATCGGTTCAATAGTCTTGATTTTTTTTTTAAATTTCTTTACATGTCAGGATAATAATCCCAATTAGTTTGTATTTTTCTTTTGCTCAGTTAATATGGAGTGAGGTGACAAAGAAAAACAAACAGCTGTTGCCTTACACAAAGTTGTAAAATGTAGGTCAGAGATTTTCAACACTTTGAAACCTTTGGGTATCAGCCATATGTTTGTGTACTGCACTAAAAATAGATATAATAAGACTCTATCTGTATGTGACAGACCCCCACCGGATCTCCTCCGCACTGAGAGAACAGCAAATGCAGTGAGAGTAGTGGCTGCTCTAATCAGAAGAAATCACATTCGAAAACAACAAATCATGTCTCAGGAAATGGAAATCTCTGTCAGATCAATGTCTCATGTAATAAAAAGTGACCTTAGGATGGGTGCATTTTGAAGAATGACAGGACAAAGGCTAACCATTTCCCTAAAAAAAATAAAGTGGTTAGATACAGTACTCCTTGGCTGTTATACCAATGGTCTTCATCAAAAGATTTTGTTTAACGATGAGAACATTTTTATAATTGAAGAAAAATTTAATTGCAAAAATGATCGTGTGTACGCACACAGCTCTAAAGAAGCCCAAGAAGTCATTGGAAGAGTGGAAAGAGGTCATCACCCTACCTCAGTGATGGTGTGGTGTGGAGTTTGCTTTGATGGCACCACATAGCTCCATTTTTGTGAAAAAGGAGATAAATCAGCCGCTAAAAACTATCAGGACAATATTTTGGAATCTGCTATCAAGCCTCTAAATGATACTATGTTTGCTGGAAGTCATTGGGTTTTCCAGCAGGATTCTGCTCCAGCTCACAAGACCAGGTCAACTCAGCATTGGCTGCAAAAGAACATTCCAGAGTTCATCTCTGCCTCAGATTGGCTCTCAGGAAGCCCTGATCTCAACCCACTAGATTATCGGCTTTGGTCCGAACTGGAGGGGATGGCATGCCACAGAGCACACCCTAACTTGGAAAGCCTCAAACAATCTCTGGTCCAAGCAGTTGAGCGCTTTACTCAAGAAGTGCTGCCTGCTATTGATGACTGGCCACCTATGTCATCAAATGCCTCTGTCAAGGCAAAAGGGGGACATTTTGAGTAATTTTGTTTTGTGTTTAACTCTCTATAGATATATATTTTATTTTTTAATAAAGTTTTTGAAAAAATTAATTTTTCTGTTGAAATCTGTATACATTTCCTTGTAACAATATTTATGTCAGGACTACGTAAGGAAAGTCCATTCAAGGCAGATATGATTTTTGTAAAAAGTAAGGTCTTTTGAGCACAAGAGTTGTCAAAATGACGAAGTCTTCAGAATGTGTGATAATGTTAGAATTCAACTTAATCAATTTAAAATAACTATAATAATTTAAAAATTATCTCACCATGATGAATCAGTGGTTTTTCCTCTTTACATACATCAAGCATGTGAACTGTAACAAATTTTGAATAATTATTTAATTCCAAGTATCACAAAACAGGATCCAATACCTTAATTTCATTAATTTTTTTTCTCTGGCACTAAACTCAGGTACTAATCAGTATCTATGTAGGGCCTTCATATAACCTTAAGATTATTTAATCAATTAGTATCTAGCACTGATTAGGGTGTTATAGATAAAGTTAAAGCAGCACCACTTAGGTATCATCTATAAGTTTACATAAAGCATATTTATATTTTTTACGACTTTTTTTTCGTAATTCTTAATTTGCTTACATTAATTAAAAATATCATAAATTATCTGGATACGACCATAATTAAAAAGGAACAAAAAATATATTCTAATCACCCCAAAACTCAAATAATTAATGAAGGTAACAATTTGATTAAAATTATAGACAATTTATATGTGAAAGAAAGTAATATTAATTTAGATTAATGATATTAATATCTTATATTAATAAGAAATTAATATTTAAGCATCAAATATTTAATATACTAAAAAACACATAAACTACTAAATTCTCTGGCATATATGATATATAGATAGCCCTGATATATAGAATACACTAAAATATTCTACTCACATAAATTAATAAACAAAATTATGGTATAAAGCAATACATAAGGATAATGAATTACCAATAGCAACGATAACACAAACTGCAAGTAACATGACTCACAATAGTCTTACAGAAGAAAATGAACCTACTATCAACTTGAACACATATCGGTCCCTAACTCAAAAATTCTTAATCAATTCTTCAACACCAGCTCACTAAGTAATACAAAAGACAGTGAACCGAACCGAAATTCAGAAAATACTAACAAACTCATACCTATCTCTATAGAAAATAACAATAAAAAAAATTCAAATCTCTAACATACATTAACAAACTGAAACACAATATCATAAAAACTTTTAAAAAATTAAGACACAGATTTCAAATTTGCCCTCAAACTTAGACATTCTATACAAAATTTACTAAGACAAAGGACCTATCCAAAATAATATAAATTATGACATGTAAAAATTGTGATAAATTATATATAGGAATGACATTGACCAATATAAAAACAAGAATATGTAACCACAAAAGTACCCTTAAACCTCATTCAAATACAGTTACCGCTTTATCAAACCGAGTCAAAAACCATAGACATGAGATAGATTTTGAAAATATTGGAATATTACATAAATCAAACAAACGATCAAAGATCAAAATTTTAGAATCCATTTGTAGAGCAACAAATCAAAACAAGAAGTGCTAAATTTAAAACAGGAAGCGGCCCACATCACACAACACTATTCACAAATAATAGCCATTCATAAAAATTTAAATAATAGCGAATTACATAAGGAAGGGTGGTAACTATAGTTGCTAAATAGTTCTGAAATATAGAGGGTGCTGACGGTAAATGTTTAGCACTCAGTAAGATGGTGTCTGAAAAAGAGGTGTCCTATTCTCAGAGACGTCAGTATTTAAAATTGTATTAAAATAAAAATTTTAACCTAAAATCTTTTTAGATATGATATGAGACAAATAACAAGAACACTGTTCTAATGTTTTATGTTTTTTAAGTAGAAAGAGATACGGTATGATGTGATAATAAGTTCATGACAATTAAAAATTATATGTATATTACAATACATGAAATATTTATGTTATTATTTAATTTATTAATTTGCCCTGTTTGAAGTATTATAATTATAGAAATGGATATGGACACCGAAAGCTACTCTGGGAATTAAGTTGCAAAAAGATTATAGAGACTGTCATTGGTAAAAAATCATGATCTACTATGAACATATAAAACAGTCTAAAATTACTGAATCATTTTTTTAGATTGATAAAATAAGAGAATCAAAAGTTTTTATACATGTATATTAAGTTATTATAAATAACTCTCGTCACCGCTATATAGAATTCATAGTAAAAAGTCATTCACTATGACTCCTCAAAATAATCTAATATTTATTTTTAAAAAACATTACTCAAAGACAGGATTATTTTACATGTGCAAGAACTCTAAGTGTTTAGTTTAAAATTACGGATAGCTTTCAAGCTCTTTATTGGTAAGATGGTTAATAGCAATCTATTTGTTTGAAACAGTTTTTTTTTTTCCATTGAACAGATACAAGGGAAAGCACTTTCTAGAACAGCTTAGCAGATGGAGTCAATGATACTGATATAAAACCAGGGAAACACTGAATGGACCTGTTTAATTTTATAAACAGTTCTCTACAATAGTACAGAAACAATTTCTTTTTTTCATTCTTTTCTATCCTTCCTGGCCTTTTAGGCACTACAGGTTTTCCTGATCCAGGAGAGAGTTAAAAGTTCCCTGACATTCGGAATAGAAGCAATTCTCTGAAGTAGATACAAAAACAATTTTCAGACACATATCACTAAAATGGAAACAATTCTCTGCAACAGACAGACTTAGACAAGATGAAAAATAATACCTCATCATTAACAATACAAAAGTTTTTAGAATAGTGAAAATGTAATCATTTTTAAAATCTGAACTGTACATGATAAGTAACCCATGGCATCAAAGTGACCACCTATAGAGCTAGCTGGGACTCATATGTTATCTCGAAAAAAGTAAAGTCTAGAGCTTTAAAATGCAGGTTATGTTACTTTACAGAGAAACTTTACTGAGTCTTGAAGTCCATATCTTAATATTTATTTTTTTATCCCATCTCAATCAGTCAACTTAGGACTGTAAAAAAATTTAAATATTCTATTTTTTCAATGAAATTCATTGAAATTATAAGAATTTAAGGATCGAAGTTTGGATTTATTACTTCTCATGAAATTTCCTTTCTTTAGACACCTCACTTGTGAAAATACACAGCAACTGAGAGTCCTGTCAAAATGGTTATCTTCCAATTAAACCCTCACCTCTTAGCGAAAGCAAAATCTTGTTATTGTGGAGATTCACAATGGATAAACACATACAATAAATTCTAAACATCTGAAGCAGAAATTATTTGCAATGTAGGAAGTATTATTTTTAATCATCCTAAATCATTATACATTGGTGTGATATACATTTTCTTCCAACTTTCAAAAACCAATATAAAAAGAAATGATCAGTTGACATGATATAATACCCATTAATAATAAAAAGGAAAAACTTACAGACAGTTTCTCTATCATCTGTAATTTCTTCTTTCACTGAAACACCTAATTTACTTATACCTGAAATAAATCATATAAGAAATAAATAATTAATTGCATTATCGAAATATGAATGAAGATCTTCATTAGATTAGTAACATGGAAAACTTACAGGTAGTCTCAGTATCATAGGTAATTTCTGATTTCATAGGAGCACTTACGTAACTTTTATCTAAAAAAGGAAATAATAGTCATAAAAAAAATAAATGATTCACTGGATAAAAAGTTGATTGAACATTGAAAGATTTAAAATAATAAATATAAACTTAAAATCATCTTGTTTAAAGATCATGCTCCTAACAATACGAATACAAGCCATTTTATTCATTTTTTAAACACTGCATCATTACTTTAACAAACAAATCCAATATACAGTTTCAATGCTAAAGGGGAACAGTAAGGGTTAATTTCAGAATATTAATAAGTTCGCAATGAACTTATTAATCGCAAAAAATAAAATAAAGTAAATCCTTAGATTCTGGGCTTATTGCAAGATTTATATTTGAAAATGTACACCAAATACAGTAGCTTACAAAAATGTTAGCTATGTTATTAATTTTTTTGCAAATTTAACTTTATAACTGATATAATTATCCCTATTAATAGCAATAGTGGGCAATTCTTTGTATTGTAGAGAAAACTATGGTGAACCAGACTATAGTCTCCCATTTAATGTCTTTATTTCATTTTATGTCCTATGTATTAAAAAAATAAAGTTATATATACATATATATATATATATATATATATATATATATATATATATATATTATTATATATATATTAATTATATAATAAAAATAATACAATTATAAGTAACTGTTTATTTTTATATATATATTCAAGTAAAGTTTTTTTGTTTTTTTTTATGAAATGAACTCATTGTATCTCTTTTTCGTTCTTCATTTCTCAAAGTGTATGTTTATGTTGTTCAACCCTTAAATATAATTTTGTTCATAGTTCAAGTGATTCGTTCATAGTTTTAATTGTTTTGTTCATAATTTTAAATGCTCTGTACATAGTTTTATCTGTATTGTATATAGCTTGTGCACCTAAGGTTTTCTTTACTTTTTATTTTATTTTATCAATTTTATTTATTGTTTCAACGTTTAGGCCAGTAATATTCTATTATTTTGTACATTATTGTTATTCTGAAGGGACTTAGTCCCAGATTAAAGTTTTTTTCTATCTATATATATATATATATATATTAAATTGATAAAATATATTTCCCTGAAAACGAAAACATTTGAGACACTATGTAACAGTTTGATTTTCATAAATTATAACACAACTGACCACAGCTCCGAGGTGAGCCTTCAATTTTCAAACTCATTTTTTATTTTGATAATTAATTTGATAATAGAATAAGAAATACAGAACAATAGTAAACCAAATTTAGCGGCAAAACTTATCACCTAGAACCACAATGTAACCTCCCCCTTATCTTTCATTGCCTGAAGATATCAACAGCGAGCTTAAACATTGGACAAGTTCTCTGAACTCAATGATGAACATTAATGAGCACTGGAAATTCATCGGGTCATTTCTAAACTAATCGATCTAAAATGGGCAAATTCCTACATTCAGCGCTGAGATCATTGATGAGCATCGAAAATCCTTCGATGGATTAGCGCTGAATTTTAGAACCATTCTTTGGAAAAGTCTTGATTTATTTATTTGGTTAGTATGGGGCTTAAGATAACCTTCACAAAGACCATCTCAGCAGTAGATGCCAGTGATCTCCGCGTTTACTCTCAGGCATGTACAAAGGTGGATGCTTTTAAATGTATGAGAACTTATCTTAACTTACTCCTCTGGATCCTCGGAAATTGATGTGCGGGCAAAAAGTGGAGCAAGGTTCGAAAGCCGAATGCACGCTCCATCCTGTCTCGTGAACGACACGAAAAGAAAAGAACTGAGGAATATAGGACATCGTTCCAGCACTATTCAAAGGTTCAAGCTGTGGAGATAAATTGTTGGATAAGATACCTACATATCACAAGGATAGACGGAATTAGGAATCAGGTTGTTAGGGACAGCATGCTCGTCAACCATAAAATTGGACGGCGAAAGCTAAGGTGCTACGGCAATGTAAGATAAATGTCTGCCAAGCGATTGCCGAACCGCTTTCTTGATTGGCCGCCGCCAAAAAGACGGAGGCGAGGATAACCTAGAAGAAGGTGGATATACGAATTGGAAGAGGTGATGGCTGACCAAGGTCTTCAGGAGGAACGACATCTAGGGCTCAGCCCTGGCGTGAAAAGGCAGCCCCCGTTGGAACGCCTAATAAATAAATACAAAAAACATAAATAGAATTTTTATATAAAACAACTACTATTAACGAATATTAAGTAATACCTTCAAAGGTATTTCTGTAAGAGAAAAACGAAATCATGTTAATAAAGAACAATTAAAGAAATATAATTGTGGATTGATGGTTGACTCTAGTGAATAAATGAAGAAAAGATTGGTTGGGGTGATCAATCAAAAATATGTAAAAATAAATGTTATATTTATTTTTATTTTTGCCAACATTTCGGCCCAAAGTTCAGGGCTTCAAAAGATTTGGTCAAAAGTCAGATTTCTGCAAGATACACGAATGCCTGAACTTTGGACCAAAACTTCGGCAAAAATAAAAATAACTTATTTATTTTTATATTTTTTTTGACTGATCATCCCAAAACAATCTTGTCTTCAATTTAAGAAATAATTCAATATTTAATTAGATGTGTGAACTGGCACTAACACTGATGGGAAGAATTAATCCTGTAAGTGGACCTTGTTTTTTTTTTTCAAATCTGTACCTGCAATGTGATCTAGTAATTTTGTGGTCAGCCCATTCAAGTATGCTCTTTGTAATTGGGGTATGATTATAACCTAGTTATAACAATTGATAATGGGGTTATAAATTCCTCTTATCATTTTTCCAGAGTTACCCAACCCAAGATCTGGATAGCAAATAAGGATTTACATTTATTTTTAATTGGCACTATAGACCAAGATCTTTGGTCGTTTGATACGGCTGGAAGAGTCGTCCTGCAAATAGCTTCTATGCGCAGCTGCAAATAGCAAATAGCTAAGTGAATATATTATACAGAAATAATTATTGCTATTTGTATCAGGTATAGGTCAGGGTGTAGGAGAGAAAGTGCAGTTATGATACGCTCGATATGAAAAACGATTGTTTGTGGTAGAAATAGTAAAAAAGTTGGTTACCCATGGTTTTACTATTCGTGGTCTTTTGAAGATAGTCTGGTCTAGATCACCTGGAATTCTTGTTTGTTTGTTTTTCTTATTTTTCTGATATCTTTGCTTCTTCCTCTTTCAAGCATCTTAGGATATTTTTCCTTGAGAAAAAATAAAGGTGATAATAAAAAATGAAAGTGATGATAAAAAAGGTGATTGAATCGTTACCGATCTAGCAGTTCCATTTGCAACCAGTGTTGTTACTTCTCAATTTACTTTACATATTTGTAAATTAGCTGTGTCAGTTAGCAACTCAACATATATACATATATATATGTTGAAAAAAAATATATATATATTTTTTTTTTTAATTTTCATGTATTTTGAAACCTTAACTGAATACCAACTGGTCGGAGAGCCCGTTAAAAAAAATCAACATTATTTATTGAAAACATTAAAAGCATTTTTTTTTTTTAAGATTTATAACATTTATATTAAAAAAATGAGTCCGCCAGTCGAATCTCCTTGTTACTTGTAAAAATGGCAGCAGATTTAAAGAATAAATATTACACCAGTAACTCGAGGATCGAAACGGGAAAATTCATGAAGAAAAATGTAGAAAGTTATAATTTTTTAAACTTTTATAAATGGGTTCAGACATGTAAAAAACAAAATTGCTAATGCCTCCCACCAAGGGAAAACTTTTTACAGCTAAAACCCCCAGATTTTTTCGACCTTTTTCAATTTTTTCATCTATAACTCCTAAATGGAGCATCCAAGTGAAAAACATACTCTTCATGAAAGAATAGAACATTAAATTGTGCGTTGCATGAGTACCTAAAATAAATATATTTTTAAGAGGTAAAATCGATAACCACGGTCAATAGAGCTACATCTTAGAAATGAGTTCTGTAAGAGAAAAAACTCAACATTTAACGTTCTTCAATTTCTCACAGAATACATTTTTCGCTTCGATATACCGTTTAGGAGTTAAAAGTGAAAAATTAAAAATGATTAAATTTTTTTTTGTTGCCTGCATTAAGTTTTCCTTTTGTGATGCGGGTCAGCAATTTTGTTTTATACATGTCCTGAATCCATCCATTTATTCAAGTTAAAAAAATATAAACTTTGTCCACATTTTTCTCAACGAATTCTCTGTTTCGATTTTCAAATTCCATTGAAATCGCCTGAGACCAAATAAACAAGTCCCTCAAAATGGTCTGTGTGTGTGGAAATTGAAAATAAACATGAAGTAAAAATAATGAAGAACGATCTAATGATTTATATACATATTCGGAAAGCAGCCGTTCAGTGGGCCTTTATGTATAAATCAGAAGACCGGAAACGAACAGAGGATTTGAATTGAACGAGCTCAGAGATGTATGAAGGACAGTGGGATTGGATGACTTGAAAAAGGAAGGATGCCAGGAAATATTTACGATGGTAGGAAGGATAAAGCCACTACAACTCTGCATAAAATCGGGAAACAGAGGTCTCTTAGGATCAGGAGGATGAATCGTATAAAGCAATTTATCAAACATTTTAATTTCGCCTCGAGATCCCCCCCATATACCATGCAGCAATAGTCGAAGTGGGGAAATATTAAGGTGACCAGGAATATAGCGCCTATAATTTTTACTTTCACTTCCCCTTTGCCTGAAAATACTTATTTCTGCTAAGAAGAGGGTGGTAAATGAAAGTCATGCGATGCACGCACCAGATTTTTTAAAATATAAATCTTATAAAAATTCAAAAAAATTCTTTTAAAGTTTTCATCAAATAATGTTGATTTTTTCTCAAGGGCTGTGGGACTAAACAGGACATTCCTAAACTAAGCATAAATCAATGTCCATGGGTTCTAGATCCTATTAATAGATGGATTCCATCATTAAAGTATCTCTGATTCTAAGAACTTGTCCAAATTTAAACCTTTCTTATCTCAAAACTTATAATATAATTTATAGACTTGATCCATTTTTGCTTTTAATGTCTCAATTGTATATTGAAAAATACAGAGGAGGGAAGAAATGGAAAAGAATCATTTAATTAAAACAAATAAAAATATGAAAATTAGAATAAAATAGAACTTTATTATTAAACACAATGCCCTCCAAGAATAAAAATAGACAGATAAGAAGAATGCTCATGATAAGAAACAAACAACAACAATATTGTGGTATTTATTTAATATAAATAATAAACAAACAACAGATTATATAAAAATTTATAATAAATAAATAAAATAAATAACATCTTCTAATAAATAAAAATATATTTGACTATGATGAAAATAAAATAATATATACATAATTATATACACATTTTAAAATAAATATATATTTATACATACATAAATACATATAATGGGTGATAAATATTCAGAACGCAGTCTTTTAAAAAAAATTTTTTTTCTTCAGCATTCAGTGCTCAAACCACGCCCTGAAGATGACCCACATGTTTGGATTGAAACGTTGGCACAAATAAAAAATAATTTTTTTTTTTTAAAAGACTGCGTTCTGAATATTTATCACCTATGACATGTAAAACAGTCGACTAACTTCCTTCAATAATTCATCAAATACACATAATGTATACAACACATAGATAGTAAATATTAAGTTAATTAATTTAAAAAAATATTTATTTTTCAATTAAATTTAACTTTAACGCACTTGTCATAGTTTATAAACAAAACAAACTATCATTCATGTTTTTATTAATTATACATAATTCATATTTATAATCAATTGATATATTAAAAATGTAAATAAACATTACTTACAAAATCTTCAATAATTGTTAGTTTTGATACAGAACACTTTTGGTAACAGAGGAAATAAGTTTCCGAAATTATATGATACAGATAAATAAAAATTATTAACAATTTTATGAGATTTGAAGATAAAACTTCACTATTATTGAAATTTATAAAATACATTTTTTAAATGGGTATATGAAGGGGAAATTTTATACTTTTATTTAATTTAAATAAAGAATAGTATTCATACAACAGTAATCTAACAACCTCACACTTGTACGTCACTCAACTCATTGATAGGGTTCTCATATGAACGGAAGGCCATTACATGTCATTTTATAAAAGTACAAAATTCACAAATTTAAGACATATAATCCTGTTAGGAAATTATTTTTGCTTCTCACCAGAATGATGGGATCTTATATGGTTTTTTAAACGACGGGGTTCTACAGTTTTAAACTCACAATGAGGGCAATGGTGAGGTTTATC